GGCCTGCAGAGTGACAGCGTGGTCTATGGTCCCGGGCCTGGCGGCGCTGTGGAGTGGCGGCTGGCGGTGGCTGAGGCTGAGAGCTGCGAGCAGACGCGGCCGCTGACCGTCAGTGAGCGAGCAGAGCGACGCTGGCGGGCGCACCGGCGAGCATTCGCGGGAACGAGGAGGCTCAGGGACCCGCTGAGCACGGCGCTTTTTACGGCGCGGCACTGTAGCGGGCTGAAGTGCAGTCTCTGTGAAGAATGCCAGGCGAGTCCGCAGAGTCACCATTGGCAGTAGCTCGCAGTGAGGGCATCCGCCGTCGGCGAGCGCGAGAGCTGCGTGACCCTCTCCCAGGCAGGAAACGCAGATAACATGGCGGTCCCCGTCACTGAGTAGGGCTCGGCACGAGCTACAAGAGGAAGGCATCTTGAAAAAGACGCGGCTCTTTTAGGTAAAGTGTGCGTCGCGGGGCGAACACACACACACACACACACACACACACAACACAGAGCAATGAAAGGATATAGAAACGCCGGATAGCGTAGCAGGAACGGCGGCTGAAGGCGGCGAGATGAAGGCCAGCGACTTCAGCAGCAAGGGCTCGTAACACAGAAAGCTATATCGACGGCGCAGCTTCTCACTCAGGATCCAGTCGGTGCGAACGCTCCACTGAAGAGATGAAAATCAGAGTATATCAGCCCATCGAGCCGTATTTATAAGGCTAGGCCACGCCCGTTACGCCGGGAGCGTGACGCAATGGGCGCGAAGCGCCCTCATTGGACTGTCACTGAATGGCCTCTCTCGATAGGCTGCTGCAATTGCCACAGGCCAGCCAATAGGCGCGCTAAGCCGCCTTGCCTATGTCTGCTTGCTGTTGCAATGCGTTTTGCATTAATACAAAATTAAGGATAATTTTTTGGCTTCAATATCTCGAGGAAAAGAGGTTTTCCCCTAGCGTAAGATATTACGCAGTACGAGAGAACCTCTCGTAAGAGAACTTACATTTCACAGGTATATTCTCCATCTGTAAATGTTAGAAAGTCGTGCGGTGCAGATATTTCCATTTTGCTGCTAAACTTCACATTGAACGAGCGCTGCTGCGCGCATGCGCTCCAAATAGGAGCGCAATAATTCAGACTAAAATATACATTTTGCTTGGAAAATTAATATGCGATATTTTATAACACCAGAAATATCTTCTAACTATAATAATTCATCTTTAGTATGTTGGATAAGTTGTGAACGTATAGCTCATTAAACTCATAGGCTCATAGCCTATATTTTATACTTAAATTTTTTTTAAAGTATTTTTAAGATTTTAAGACATTTTTAAGAAACCAAATATAATAAATATAGTTTTGGGTATAGGATCTGCTAATTAATAAAGATGACTTATACTTATTTAGAATGCTGAGAATTTAAGCAATATATATATATTTTTTTGGAGAAAACAAGAATCCTCAGTTTTAAATGATTGGTTAGATTTAGTTTCTAAAGTACACTATGGCGAGGATAACATGAAATTAAGAGCGAAAGTATACATTTTGAAAAGATATGGGCAACTCTAAAATCAAAGAATATTCCATAAAATAAAGGAATTTTATTTTATAAAATTATTAAATAAAATTTTATAATTTTGAAATAAAATGTTATTTCAAATAAAATACATTTTTATTTTTACATTTTATTTTACCTCCCCCCCCAATAAAATAAAATAAATTATTTTTTATTAATATTTATTAATGGTTTTTGTCTTTTTTCATATGTAAAAGTGTCTAACTATGTACTCATGGTTATTGTTCTAATTGTGGGTTTTTTTATGTGTTGGTGGGTATAATCACAAAAGGAATAAAAATTTAATATACAATATAATAGAACATGTCCATCTATATTGTATAATTTATCATTGTAGCTTTATTTAAGTTGATTTTCTGTATACTGTATATTTATTTTTGGACTGATAGTGGTTAATAAAGTCAAATAATGGTATGCGCGAGTGTCAGTGGTAATATCATTGTGTTCCTGGTGGTCAGTGTTAGAGGAAGAGTGTATAAACTCAGGCAGTTAGCCTGCCCTGGACCAGGTTAGTTTCCCAGCATAAGTTTCCACAGTAACTGAGTTTGAACTATTTTAAGTTTGCTTTATGAAACATAATCAACCAACAATAAGTCTGACTAACCAAAATAAGCCTGGTTTGTATTCTAATCTTGTTTTATGGAACAGCCCTCTGGACAACTGTTAGTATTCTTTACATAGAATGATTTAAATGAATCTTTAAAAAAAAGATTTTGTTAAACACTTTTTTTTACACAAGCCAACCAGGCCTTTTAGATTGCCTGGAACCGTTTTAGATACAAGTAACGTAATCTACAGACAACAGAATATTTGCAATACTTTACAAAATGTTTATTGGTTTTTAAAACCACTTAAAAAAAAAAATCTCAACATCAGTAAGCACTTTTAATACAAAAGAATGAACAAAATCTTGCAGAAATGTCTTAAATTTATCAAACTATCATAAAGAGTCTGTACATAAACAATAACAACATAGGAAATAGCAAAGGTAAGAAAGAAAGACACGGGAAACGGTAAGTTTTACCAGGTCAGTGAATAATACAGTCACAATTCTGGCCTGCCTCTTCATTAAAGTAGAAATAGTAGTGCTTGTTCAAAAACAAATGTTCACACACATACTTTAAGCGGAAGGAAATAGTACATGAAGACCTAAAATAAATGTAAAAAATAAAATAAAAAATGAACACCAGTCATTGTCTGAGTTATTTCAAAACAATTAAACGAGTGAACTTTCTTCTGTTGAACAGAAATTCTTATGTTACTATAAAGAGTCATGACATTTATGTACAGTGATTCTGAACAAATGCATATTTACGATTTTGATAATGTAATGAACGTTCGATTATTAAACGTTCAAATTATTTTATTAAACATTTTAATTGCTTTCACTTATTTACATGTAAGTACTTCTCACCAAGATCCTCATAGGACTCTTTTTTTACTTGAATCTTTTTTTCCAAAAAGTAGTTCTTCAAAACAGTCTACTGAGGCTTCATGTATTGCACTGAAATTCTCAAAGAAGCTCATTGAAGAAATTAGTGCAATAAAAGGAACCACTAGAACTTTACGAATTTCCAGTTGTTACATTTCCAGTGTTAACTGCTAGATCCCCGTTTATCAAAAAAAGAAAAAGATATGCAATCTTATCATATAAAACCACATATTTTAAAATCCATGCTATATTCACACACAAAAGCACTCTTCTGCAAAAAAAAATGCAAAATGCAATAAAAAAAACACTGGAAACCAATTAATAATAAATAGAAAACAATGCTTGAAAATTAAAACACACACATCTATATCTATACAAGAGATGTCTAGTTGTGTAAACTATTAATTGTAACAAAAACAAAACAAAAAACTGTCAAGGACCATTGATCACTATTATCAATATGAATGTTAGTCAAACTGGTAATACATTGTTATTTTTTTCCCTTTTATAAATGGAGCTTATTTACAGCGCGTCACAAACAGAAGTTCAATAGTCCACTTTCTTCATCCCATAAGAATCGTCCTGCTACAAATACCAGAAGTACGAAGTCTGACATGATCAGTAGATAAAATTCAAGTGCTACAGTGGTCTTATACAAATGCCACTATGCATTCACAAAACAAATTCCCTTTTCAACCCCACAATCTTGGCCCCATTTCAACCTGGGTGATATTTCCACAAATTCATTTTAAAACATGTACCTTAAAAGCTGGGGTAATAATTCAATTTGAAAGTGGTGATACTAAAAAGGTAGAATTACTTCAACATTTACTCAGTAACTCCAAAACTTGTCTTTGGCATGGAAGTAAGGCTAAGATGGACTTTAATAACTACCACACTCAGAAACAAAGTGTATGCTCTGATATTCTGAAAGCAGTCTACTTATCGAGTGCGTCAGTACAGCATGGTACAGTAATGGCCATTTGAATTAAATGTCTTCATTCCAGCTTTGAAATTAGCACCGAGTTCGTTTATTAGTAATGTGATCTCTGGGTAATTTCAGTTTCCTGATGTTTTTACAGCTGGTACGATCTTGATTAAGGGGTAAAGGCTCTTTAATAGTGCATGTTATAAATAAGTTCCTGAATGAAGCGCTCAAGTAGAAAACAGTCATTGAAAATGCCAAAACGAGGCATGTGCATGAGAGCATATATACGTCAATGAATATCATTTATGCAAACTGCTAAATGACAAGCATCAATTGGGGGGAAATTCATATGAAGTCAAAATGTGGCTAATCAACTTTTTCTTAGCCTCATTAATGCATAGTTGACAATAAAACAAACATTTGAGATAGTTTTGAAAACTGTCCTAAAAAAATTTTTTTCCACAACTATAATCCACTTTGGCATTTTGGTTTCACCAGTTACTATTAACCCTCCCCCATTTTTCCTTCTAATTTTTCCATTTAAAATGAGACCTTTTCTCAGCCATATTCAAATTGCAAATACAATATAAAGGTGCCAGCTAGTGCAATAACCAGTGCCATTATTATTCAATGATTGTGTATAAAAAAAGAAAAGAAAAAAAAGAAAATCACAGCCTGTTCTGTGGGATAAAATCTGAATGATCTCTTTCAATTTAGAGACTGGGGAAAACCTGAGATGCAGCTCAGGACAGCATATTTCATAGATTTCAATTTAGTTAAATATTAGCATATACCTGTATAACATTAAATAGCAAAAGTGCACTCATTTATTCATTTTGAACATTAAATCACCAGCCATCTAATGTAAAAAAAAACAAAAAAACAACAACAACACTTTTGTGCAAGTAGCTGCATACATCCCAATTGACAGTGGCAATAAGAATGAAGCTGCAAATATCACTTATCTTATTACACACAAATAGAATTTGTAATGTGAGCCAACAAGTTATTACTTTTTGAACAGCTGCTGCTGGTATAAGTTGAAATATTATAATATTAAGCATCACCTGAAAGCTTAACAAAGCTGATGCGATCTTCCCTTATTCTTTGTTTACTGAAGGACAATACAGATGTTACAGTAATAGGTTCAAAGTTGTCACTTATTATGGTTTACTGCAAATGGAAGCACCGATTTTCTTAACAGAGTGAAACAAAAGCTAATTAGATGAGGTAAAGTACCCCATACAGCTGGTGTAACCTCAAAATACAAATAACTTTCTTTAAGATAAAGGGTTAAAAGGAAATTCTTATTTTCCAATTTTCAATACAATGCCCTTTGACTGCAAAATGTTCAAAGGATTATACAAAAGTTGCGTAAATTAATGCACGAAACAGCGTTGAGGCATAAAAAAGCTTTCTGATGACTCCTTATGTAAAGCTCTGACGTGGGTTTTCTTTACAAAACTGGTGGGAAAGAGGCGGCAAAATGTGACAGCACTCCCCGGTTAGACTGTGTTGCACTAACCATTGAGACAAAAACCCAACAATTTTGAAAGCACAATAATTTCTGTTCAGCCTGGCACTTCAATATGGACCTGTATCATGATGTCCAGGGGCTTACTGTAGTAGGTGGTGCACAACAATGAGGTGAATACATACACCAATGTGATTTCAAAAATGCATACATAGAAACCTATACAAATATAAAAACAAAACAAAAGCACAAATTAACCCAACATTTCCACTGTTGCCTGGTCTTTACTCTCCAACCAGTCAAAGCCAGCAGAATTCACAGTCTCGCTGCAAATCTGTTGAAAAAGTGGGTCATTCTTCAGTTCCTCCAGTGTTGAGTCTTCATATTGTCCTGGCTGCTGACTAGGGTCAAAAAGAAGGCTGGTGTCCAATGTATTTAAGTCATTTATGCCACCGGTGAGCTCAGAGGTTAGTCGCATATCGCTGGGAAACTCTGAACCCCCAGCACTGAGCTTTGATCCTTGACCCACAAGCTGTGATCTAGCATTCAAGCTTTCCTCATTTAAAAGATCTTTAACAGTTCGGTCTAAATCCAATGGTTGCTGGTGCTGATGTTGTTGGAGGTTTTGCTGTAGAGGCAACAGTATGGCCTGACTCTGCTGTTCCTGCCCAAGGAGCTGCCGTCTTCCTAAGTGCTGTTGCTGTTGTGACGGCTGGTGCTCCCCTGAGGCTGATTGTGCTTGGCTTTCGTCTACAGAGAAACTCATCGGCTTCTCCCTGGCATTTTTCATGAGGTAACCAGGCTTTTGGGACTCAAAGGCTGATGAACAAGGTGAGATCAGAGCTTGGTGGCTGGCACTACCAGGAAAGCTGGGCACTGTGGTGGTCTCCAGAATCTGGGTGAGATTCATGCGGGCAGTGTAGTTGGACGGCATGTTGTTGATTCCTAGGCCACGTACAGAGTCATCTCCATCGACATCCATTTTGCTGATGAGGACATTGGTGATATTTTTGGCATTAATCTGCTGGCCTGATTGCATGGGTAGAACCTCAGACTGCATCATCACGGTGACTGGAACGGACTGACTCCTCTGTGCCATGCTGCTGACACTTACATCAGGGTCAAAGTTAGAAAAGATGTTTAGCACTTCAGGTGTTACAGGTGAGTTGAAAGGAGAGACCACAGAGTGGGGAACATTGGGAGCTTGAGTCCCACTCAAGTTGCGCTGCCTGACTGCCGGGCTAACGCTGCGGCAACGAAATGTTCCAGACCCTGAGGTGGTACTGGCTTTGTTGTCAAGGGGTGCTGGGACAGCAAAACCCTCTTTCTTGTTGAGGCTAGCCATGCTTGCCACTTGCTGCTGGACAGGTGAAATGGGTGTCAAGCGGCTGATATGCGTGTCATGATGTCTGCTTTGCGGTTGACAGGTCTGGCCCGGGATGGCAAAGGCGTGAGGCTTTCGAAAGTGGTCATCTACCAGGTCTTGGTAGCTGGGCAGAATGCTAATGCAATTGTTAGAGTTCCCACCACTGTTATTGTACCCACTGTTCATCCACTCCAGTTTAGTCTTATCTGGATGCGTTGCCATTGGTCTTTGCATGGGCTTGACAGGGCTCGAGGAGACAGTAATTCCGTCGTGGTATCCAGTGATGCTGGAGTTAATCGGAGTAAATGCAAAAGGGTTCCTGCATTCCACTGGGCTGGGTGGGACACTACTGCTGCAGTTGGAGTGTGGCGTGCCAATAGGAGTTTGTCGACTACTTCCAAGAGCACTGTCGACCGGAGTGGTGGGGGCTAGGCGCAAACAGGGGCTTTCGTGCATCAATCCCTGGCCGTTTCCCATTATCTCCGAAGTGGGAGTAGGTGTCGGAGTGGGTGTTTGGATTGGGGTGCTGCTGCTATGAGCAGAGCTGTAGTACAGGGTGTTAGTCTGGAAGGTAGACATTATGGTAGTTTGCATGGTTTGATGCTGACCTTGCAGTGAAATATCCACACAGTTGCTGAAACTTTGTATGCTATTGTTCATTTTCATCTGCTCTTCCATTTGAACAAGTTCCTCAACAATGCTATCCTGGGTCATGTCATCATCATTAAAGGGGTAGTAGCCAACGTTGGCCTGGGTTCCATAGTCAATCATCTGAGCCTGTTGGTTGGCAGGAGAGGGTTGCGCAATCGCAGGAACATGCTCCATCACTGGGGTGGACATTTGCTTTGGCTCAGACACCATTTGCGGACCATAGACTTCTTGATGTTGTTGAGTGCCATCTTGTGGCTCACTATCCCAAAACACACGCTTCAGTTCATATACAGAGGAGGAGTCGGATTGATCTAGAAGCAAATTCTTTGAGTTTTTTGTTACTTGTTGTAGCAATGCTTGACCTGGAGCACTAACAGTACGGGTGACCTCAGCTCTACCTTCAATTCCTGTTGAAGATCCTTCCCATCTCCCTTGGGAGATACTTCGCGGCCTGCTAACAGTCTGAAACATGGTGTTCCCTACTGATGTATCCTGACTTGATGAAGAGGGGACAGGAACTCTATAATCCACAACTGATGAAGCTCCTTCCCATCTTCCCTGGGAGGTGCTTTGTGGCCTGCGAATTGTCTGGAAGCCAGTATTCCTGACCGGAGCTGCAGTAGCTTTGCCTATGGCTGTAAGAGGTGCACTTTCTGGCCTGATTGGAGTACATGATCTTGGAAATTGCTTCATCATTATTTCAGACTTCTGTTCATCGGATCCACTGGCTGATAGCACAGAGATGTGGGCTTTTTTAACAGGTGTTGGGCTCAAATCAGTGCATAAGCCAGGTCTCTTGTGAGGGCTCTTGGATGCCAACACTACATCTTTGGGTGACGTCACAACTGCATTACTGCTGATTGACTGAGTGCTGCTTGTGTTTTGGTACAAAGTGCTTTCGTTAGTGTTAAATGTATTATTACTGCCAGCAGCCAGAGTATTGGCACTAAGGAGTGTCCTCCCATTGCATTTGGTCCCTATGTACAATCCCAGAGAGCCCTTGTCAAGAGGAGTAGGTACGCTAGTCGCTCTGGGTTTAAGAATTCCTGACCGTTGTACACCACCAACTGAGTCTGAAGTAGTTGCCAGCCTACTAGTGCCACCCTGCTCTTGACCACCTCCAATTATGGCTTCGATATTTGTTTTAGTGTCAATGACAGGCATTGTGGTTGAACGTCCGGATCTTGCCAAAACAGATGACATTGCAGCTATAGACCCACTGCGAACACGCGTAACTGGCTGTGGATCATCACTGAGGCTGGCAACTCCAGCAGATGAAGGTCTGACTTTGTAGCTGGTAGGGGTATCTGCTGGTGTGTTGGTACCACCACTGCCATTAGAGCCCAGAGATATGGTCGTCATTTTGACAACATTGACCGAACTGATGTGCGGCGTCGACATTACCGGCTTGAGGGGGCTGTTGGTGATAAGCAGGGTTGGCGAGCGCAGGGTGATGCCACTTGAGGCAGATGGTTTGGGCAGGATTTGGGCATACCGTTGTCGGGCTGACCGGTCGCTTACAGGACTAGCTGGGATGTTATGAGGCGTCTTGGGGCACTGCTTAACAGGCTGCACTGACTGGGTAACCACTTGAAAGTTTACAGGAAGAACTTTACTGTCTGCAGCTACCATAGGAAGAGGGCTAGGAGACGTTAACTGCTTACTCCTCTGAACCTGCATGAAATACAAAAAGGAAAATAAGAGAAACATTAGTTAAATAAATATTAGATAAATAGGTGTTAATATTAAATTATTTATAAAACTACTATAATATAAATTAAAATGTGAACTTTTTTGATATTTTTGTAATTTTGTGTAAAAATCGTAGTTTACCGTGATGGGGCTGGAAACAGCTGCAACCACAATCCCAATAGGTTGAGGCGAAAGAAGAGCAGGACTTCCACAAGGTATGCCTGTCCCTCCCCCGGGAGTTATGCCCCCATCTACCCTCCTGGCCTGAGCTTCACCAGGGAGTGGAGAATGTAGTTTCTGTTCCTGCTGCTTCTTCTGTATCTTCCTTTGTAGCTGCTGTTTGGCATCTACTGAGGGTGAGACCAGGGTTTTAACCTGAGGCTGGAATGAGTGTGCATCGGCTGTGGGAGCGAATGCAGATGACTGAATGGACATCTTTGCTCCTGTGGGAAAAAAGAGAATCAGTTGTAGAATTATGACAACATTAAAAAATAAATTAAATACATTTTCCCAAGAAACATATGCACTTATTTTTAGGTTTGTCTTGTGTTTGCTAGCCACAAGGTGGAGACATTTCCAAGTGTAGGTACATGGAGTGAAGTGCTGGGCTGTTACAAGTTTACTGTACCTGAGGGGGAACCGGTCATCACAGTAAGAGCAGCCACAGACTTAGTTCCAATGTAGTGGCTGTTCAAAAGAAACCGAGCCAGATCGTCAACGCTGTCAAACTGCCGACTCAGCACTTTCTGTGCCCACTCGCACACCAACCCACATGCGGCAATGCGCACCTCATCTTCTGCACTTGACAGTTGACCAGTAGCTTCAAACACTTCACACTGACAATGAAAAATCAGCACAAATTTTCTAGGCTTTCACACATGCAATTTTTAGGTATTTGAGATGTTTAATATTATTATAATGGTAAGAGTGATAAAATTGCAGCGAATCAGAGATAAGACAAGAAAAGATGAGTAAAAAAAAAAAAAAAAAGAGTAGTAACTTACTCACCCCATCACCTGATTTGTGAAGATCTAGGTTGGGAAGAGATGGCATGTGTACACAAGCCTTCTTCCTAAGTCCACTATAGCAATATGTTCACAGAAGTCAAGGAAATACATCTGTCCATTATACCAAGAAAAGGTGCTTGGATTTCCACATATCAAAAAAGGTATTAAATCACTTTGGTGTGAAGCAAATAACACACTGAACATAAATTATTTATTAATTGATAAATGTTTGTCAACACTGGAATTCAAATGGAAAAAATTACTAGTGTGAGGCTAACACGGCCCATGCGGGGCAGAGATGTTGGTCATTCGTAGAGCTTTCACACCAAACAAAAAGTACATCATCCCAGTACTTGAGAGTTAATGCATCTACACTCTTCAGTATGAAAAGTTTGGGTAAGAAAAGAGACCATATGTAGGCATACAGTGGGTTTTCGATCTCATGAACTCTAATTGTACCTTTGTCACATGAACATGTCACACAGCTTAGAATGAAAGCTGTTATATTTTCCAGTTTTTGTTCCTAGATGTACACGGTGTATGTTATTACATCAAACATGACCATCAAAAACCTTAAAGATATGGCAACTACAGTATTGTTTGGAAAAATCAAATCACCAAAAAGCTTAGATTCAATTCTCGTGCATAAGAAAATACAAGATGTCCTTTACTGGAGTTGCTTTCTTGGGCATTAGAGTTAGTAAGGATTGGATTTCCGTTGCAGTAGCAACCGTCAACAACAAGCATGGTTTATTTCAGTGACGCACCACACTGAAATTAAAAATAATATTCACACTCACGAATGCACTTTCAATCCTGCCTTACCCAACACCAAAAAAACAATGACCACAGTTACACAACCTAATAATTTCTGAGATTTTCTTCTGAGACGTAACAGCTAAAGACATGTTGTTGTTATGTTGCTTACTATTATGGTATCTTTTAACAAAACACTAAAATAAAAACATACATTTAGATTCATATCACCTATTAAAAACCTCAAAATAAAATCAAGAACAAAGTCAAATTTGACTTTTTCTATGAATTAGATTTTTTTTTTCTTTTAAGTTATAAAGTAGCAATACTATAGCCTGTACTTCCTAACAGAGCACAAAAGAGAAATGATCTCCACTGTAAAACAAGGCTGTACAGAAATTAATGAACACTTTGCCGAATGTCTTTTGAAGGTCCGCATTTGGCAGCCGATAGTAAACAGGTTTCCTATACAGCAAAACTGTTCAAGGACACGGAAGTTTATTTTGATACGATTTCTGATCTATATTTAGCAGCTACATGAATTACAGCAACAGATGCTTTAGTACACAGAGTTCAGGGACAGGAACGTGTATGTGTGTCTGCTTTGGGGGACTGGGAAAAGGTAGGATGGGATTGTTACAAAAAGTTCCATTGAAGGATATTTGGATTTGCCTCGCATGCCAAGTCGCCGCGCTTTCATGGTGGGAAAGACGTTCTTCATGATCTTTCCAAAGTCTGCAGCACTGAGAGCATGATAGCCCAGGCTATCACAGTAACTCCTGAGAAGCACACATGTAAAATAAATCAATTACAATTTGCACAGAGACCACTCACAGAAAACAAAACAAAAGTATATCAAGCTCTGTGCAAAAATACTTGCAGTACATTCTCCATACACTTAAACCTGAACCAACTCTGGCTGAAATGTTTATGTATAAAGCAAGATGGCCCAGAATTCCTGGCTTACTTGTACTCATCATAGACTTCTTGTTTAGGCAGTGATGTTTCAGGGTGCTCCTCAAGATGGTTCCGAATCCAGCTAAATGCATGCATCTGCTGGGAACGACTTGATGACATGGCGCTCTGCTCACTGATAGAAAAGAATTCAACAGTACAATTAGAACAACAGAATAGTTGCTAGCCACAGATACTATTTTGCTGATGTTTTTCTCCTGCCATTAGCAAAACATAATATGGAAAAAGATGATGAAAGCATTAGTGAAAAGTTCCATTGCCCTCATTTTGTATTTGATTTTGCCTGGGTGTAGTTTGGTAGAACCCATAAGATCACTCACTTTTTCTCAATGCCACTGCTTGGTCCAGAAGGCAACTTGAGATAGAGGTAGAGTTTTTCAATGTCTGTAAGCTTCTCCACATCTTGCTGCAAAGCAACAGAAACACAGATGATGTGTGCTCAATATAAAGCCGTTATAATGCCACGTTTCAAGAGTTTGAAATGTCAAGTACAGAAGACTCAGCATCAAGTACATCAAGTACAGAAGAAGCCTAAGAAAATTAGATAATCATGACATAAAAGTATAGTGACATGACAGCATTTTACTTCCTGGTCACACTCAAAATAGGGATTTTGAATATAGGGAAAAGGTATCTTTAGAACCATACATAAAATTGTCTGGTTTGATTCAAAATTAAATTAATCAAAAGTACAAGTTTGATCAGCTGGACCAAAAAATGGACCAAAAACTCAAAAGTTTGGGGTTGGTAAATTTTTTAAATGTTTTCAAAGAAGTCTCCTATGCTCACCAAAGCTGCATTTATTTGATCAAAAATGAAGTAAAAACAGTAATATTGTGAAACATTACAATTTAAAATAACTTTTCTATTTTAATATATTTTAAAATGTATACTATGATGGCAAAGCTGTAAACAGTTGCTGTTGAATGTGTGTAAACCTTTTTACACGATTCTTTGATGAATAGAAAAGATAAAAATGTTTTGTAACATTCTAAATGCATTTACTGTCACTTTTGATCGAGTTTATGCATTATTCCCGAATAAAATTATATTGAAAAATAATAATAATAATGATAAAAAAAATCTTACTGACACAAAACTTTTGAACAGTATATACAGGGGGTCAATGTGTCAACATGGTCATAATAACTGGACAGCATGGGATCAAGTGATTCTTTACTGTCTAGCACAGAGGAGAAGTGCTGAATGAAGGGGGAAATCACAGCTGTTTGAAAGGCACCAGGGACCTATCCCAGGGTTCCAGACTGCGACCAAATTTTTTTGAGAATGTGCTAGTGATGGGAAGTTCGGTTCTTTTCCGCGAACCGGTTCTTTCGGACAGTTCGTTTCAATGAACCGGTTCAAAAAACCGGTTCACCAGTTCTTTTACGTCCTCGCGTAATGACGTCAATTATATCATCCCGGCAGATACAAATACATTTAAATTAAAGGCATTTGTAATCATAACTTCACTTAAATAATAGTACTCATCGTCATAATCCTCTTGGATAAGTTTCTTACATTTACATTTTGCAAACGAATCCTGTAGCCTACAGGCGATGTACAAACGCGGATGTTTAACATGTCTTAAATAAGTGCATAAGTGGTCTTCATCATTTTATTTGTAATAAACTTACATTTCGCCGAATTCGGCCCCTCATTTAAGTCCTCGGTTCACCCGTGCTGCGTGCTCATCAGCACATCATCAGTTGGCCGAAAGAAAGTTCTGTTTAGAGACGGTGCTATCACGCATGCTCAGTATCTCCAGCTCATCGGTTCTCCGTATCGAACGTGTCCGAAAGAAACAGTTCTCGGTTCTGTACTGGTGATTCAAGAACTGCAACAACCAGTTCTTGACTCGAGAACCGTAGCATAGGCTGTGTGCTGAGCTGAGAACTGGTGAAACCTGAATATAGTCGACAAAACTAAAAAAATCGATGCATGTCTTTCTTCTCCAATATGTTTAATACGTTATGTTTTAACACATTATAAACATTTACTAAGCAGTACTGTGCAGTGTGCACCATTAAAACTTTGGCAAGAGTTTACGTCAACTATTTATATCAACTTACTTAGAAATTAAATGAGCTGTTCCTGAAAATATTATTTTAATAAATGTTTAATTTGACAGGTTTACAATCCATTCATTGTGTTTCCAAACTTTAAAATAATACAGTGATAATACAGTAATTATGTGATAAACATGTTTCCAACATTATGATGTTCAACTAAATAAATACTTAAGAAAGGTACATTTCGTCCCTCAGAAAAAAATTGCACGCATGCTCAGCTCATCGATCAGTTGTTCTCATTATGTCGAACGTGTCCGAAAGAAACAGTTCTCGGTTCTGTACTGGTGATCCGATAATCGCTGTACATGTGCGTTAGGTAGCACGCGCATGCGCATTGCGCAGTATCAGCTGCTCGTGCTCATCACTTCTCTCAAAAACAACACGTTTCAAACTGTTGGATTTACTGGAGTGAAATATACTCCGGGATATTGGTTTATTTCGAGTCAGAGGGACTGTCAGGCATGTCTGAAAGTGAGTAACTTTAGTAACTTGTGTATCAGCACTGACGCAAGACGCGAACTGTTTCGAACGATTCAGTCCGATTTAGTGTACTGGTTCGACCGGTTCACTAAAAAGAACCGGTTCAAAAGAACGATTCGTTCACGAACCGGCCATCACTAGAATGTGCGAGTTAAAATGTTATGTGGTCGCATTTGTGCGAGTGGACGCTTGAGCAACAGAACGCCGTTGTATCAGCTGCTGCAGTCCGTAACTTATGTTCAAAATGAACGAGTAGGCTACATCAAGAATCCATTTTCCAAATCGTGTTTTTGACTTATTCTGAATCACTACGGTACGCCTATAATAAGTGTTTATATTCGGACTTTTTTATCCCGGGGTCGTCTCGGCTGCGGAGTAGCCCAGTGCCTGCGTGACTCGCCATAGACATTAACGGAGAGAAGTTCCGTCTACAATCTTCTTCCGCAAGACACGTGCAGTTTATTTATTGACGAACGTAGACGTCACGCGCATAGCACACTGATGGTGAAACGCGCCAATTACGAATTCACGAATTAAGGCATATAAAAATGATAAAAATGGTCTCACGAAACACAGAGCCCCTTCCTCCTACGTCTTTTCAGCGGTTATATTTTCCTCTGTTGAGCGATTACTCTCATGATCGCTCGACAGAGGAAAAGGAAATTATTATAAAATGCAGAAGGTAAGGAGTGTGAGATTTCTGCTTTTTGTTACAACTATAGACTTTGATAACGAAAAATCTGTATCAGTTTATTATAATACTCTAATCTTTTAAAATGTAATGCATACATTTGAATGTTTAAAGATTTTTAAAAGATAGAAAGATGATAATAGACAGATAGATAGATAGATAGAATATGATTCAAATGTAAATAGATAGATTGTATATAATTCAAATGTAAAATGCTTAAATTACAGATTAAAATTACTGTCCAAAATCCATGAAAATCCTGAAATTTGGCAATGATAATTAATATATTACAGGTATTTCTGCTGCAACCCAGAAAGCCTTTGCTAGCCTTTGTCCATTAAAACCACTATTCATCAGCATGCATTGATTAATCCCATGGCATGTAGCAAAAAAAAAAGGTGCGACCAAATCATATGCTGGTGCGACCAACTGAGAAAGTTGGTAGCACCAGTGCAACCAGTGGAAAAGTTAGTCTGGAGCCCTGTATCCTATCCAATCCAAATGATCCACTGACTATTTACAGCAAATTATTCCGTTACAGTATAGCTGTAATGATTTTATGAACTACTTCAATGAGAAAATTGAAAACATCCGAAACACAATTGTAAATGTACAATCCTCTATGGTGTCTTATGATTCAGCCTCAATTATCGCCCCTCAAGAACAACTACACCACTTTCCAACTATAGGACAGGAAGAGCTAAATAAACTTATCATTGCATCTAAACCAACAACATGTTTATTAGATCCAATACCAACTAAATTTCTGAAAGAAGTGTTACCTGTAGTGGAAGAGCCTCTTCTTAATATTATTAACTCGTCTTTATCTTTAGGTCATGTTCCAAAAATATTCAAGCTGGCAGTAATAAAACCTCTCATTAAGAAACCGCAATTAGATCCAAATAACTTAGCAAATTACAGACCGATTTCAAATCTTCCATTTATGTCTAAAATACTAGAAAAGACTGTGTCCGCTCAATTGTGCTCTTTCATGCAAGAAAATGAGATATATGAAAAATTTCAGTCAGGATTCAGACCGCATCATAGCACAGAAACTGCGCTAGTTAAAATTACAAATGATTTACTTTTAGCTTCTGACCAAGGCTGTATCTCAATATTAGTTCTACTCGATCTTAGTGCTGCGTTTGACACTATCGATCATAAAATACTCTTGGATCGACTACAAATCTACACTGGTGTTCAGGGACAGGCATTAAGCTGGTTCAGATCGTATTTATCAGACCGTTACCATTTTGTTTGTTTAAATGGGGAAAAATCGAAGATAACGTCAGTAGACTATGGAGTGCCGCAAGGATCGGTGTTAGGCCCTCTGCTATTCTCAATATATATGCTGCCACTTGGTAATATTATAAGAAAACATGGAATTAATTTCCACTGTTATGCTGATGACACTCAATTATATATTTCATCACGGCCAGATGAAAACACTAACTCATCAAAATTGACAGTGTCTTAAAGATATAAAATGCTGGATGACGCATAATTTCCTGCTACTAAATCCAGATAAAACGGAGGTATTACTTGTTGGTCCAAAAAACTATCCACAAAACCACTTACAATACAACTTTAATATAGAAGGATGTCCTGTTACTTTATCCTCTACGGTAAAAGACCTGGGAGTTAAACTAGACCACAAATTGTCTTTCGAAAATCATATTTCATATGTTACAAGAACAGCGTTTTTCCATCTTAGAAACATTGCTAAATTACGTAACATGCTATCTGTTTCCGATGCAGAAAAGTTAGTTCATGCATTCATGACCTCGAGACTAGATTACTGTAATGCTTTATTAGCCGGTTGTCCTGCATCCTCAATAAACAAGCTACAGTTAGTGCAAAATGCAGCCGCTAGAGTTCTTACTAGGTCAAGAAAATATGATCATATAACACCAATTTTATCATCTCTACACTGGTTACCTATCAAGTTCCGTATCAATTACAAAGTACTATTACTGACCTATAAAGCCCTAAATGGTTTAGCTCCTGTGTATTTAATGGACCTTCTATCGCCCTACAATCCATCGCGTTCTTTAAGATCACTAAATTCGAGGCTTCTAGTCATTCCTAGGATATCCAAGTCCACTAAAGGAGGGAGGGCGTTCTCACATTCAGCTCCTAAACTCTGGAATAGCCTTCCTGATA